AGCTCCTCTCCAGCAGGTCATCCCCCAACCTGTACCGGTGCATGCAATTATTCCTCCCTAGGTGCAAGACCCTACACTTGCTTTTGTTAAACCTCATCTGGTTTCTTACTGCCCAGCTCTCCAGCCTGTCCAGGTCTCGCTGAATGGCAGCACAGCCTTCGGGTGTGTCAGCCAATCCTCCCAACTTGGTATCATCAGCAAACTTGCTGAGGGTGGCCACTATCCCCTCATCAAGGTCATTGATGAGGATGTTGAACAAGACTGGACCCAGCACCGACCCCTGGGGAACACCGCTGGTTACAGGTCTCCAACCGGACTCTGCACTGCCAATGACGGCCCTCTGTGCTCTGCCAGTCAGCCAGTTCTCAACCCACCTCACGTCCAATGATGCCAGTTGCTCTTCCTTTATCCGCTGATGTTGTAACTCCATTATAAAAGGCCACCAAGTTTGTTAGGCATGATTTGCCCTTGGTGAAGCCATGTTGGTTACCTCCAATCACCTTGTCTTTATTTTCCACATGCTATAGTATGTGGAAGGAGAATCTGCTCCATGATCTTACGCGGCACAGAGGTGAGACTGACTGGCCTGTAGTTCCCTGGATCTTCTTTTTTTCCTTCTCTGAAAATGGGGGCTATGTTTCCCCTTTTCCAATCAGTGGGAGCTTCACCAAACTGCCATGACCTTTCAAATATGATGGATAGCTGCTTGGCAGCTTCATCCACCAGTTCCCTCAGAACCCACGGATGGATCTCATTGGGGCCCATGGACTTGCACATCTTCAGTTTCTTTATATTATGTTGAACCTGGCCTTCATTTACAAAGGGCAGATCTTCTTTCTCCAAGTTCTTACCTTTCTTTCTGCAACTTGGGCAGCATGGCTAGAGCCCTTGCTGGTGCAGTCATAGAATCATAGAATTACTCAGGTTGGAAAAGACCTTAAAGATCATCAAATCCAACCACAACCTAACCATACTGCTCTAACTAATAACCCTCCACTAAATCATGTCCCTGAGCATCACATCCAAATGGTTTTTATACACATCCAGGGATGGTGACTCAACCACCTCCCTGGGGAGCCTATTCCAGTGCTTAACAACCCTTTCTGTAAAGTTCTTTTTCATGATATCCAACCTAAACTTACCCCGGTGCAACTTGAGGCCATTTCCCCTCACCCTGTCACCAGTGAGAAGAGACCAGCCCCATTCTCACTGTAAGCACCTTTCAGGTATTTAAAGAGAACAATAAGGTCTCCCCTCAGCCTCCTTTTCCCCAGACTAAACACCCCCAGCTCCTTCAGTCTCTCCTCATAGGGCATATTCTCCAAGCCCTTCACAAGCCTTGTTGCTCTTCTTTGGACCTGCTCCAGCACCTCAATGTCCCTGCTGTACTAGGGTGCCCAAAACTGAACACAGTACTTGAGGTGAGGCCTCACCAGTGCTGAGTACAGGGGAAGGATTACTTCCCTACTCCTGCTCACCACTCCATTCCTTCCAGTCTGAGACAAAGAAGTCATTAAGCAACTCAGCTTTCTACATATCCCTTGTAACTAGGTCTCTGGTTTCCTCTCAGAGAGGGCCCACATCTTCCCTGGTCTTCCTTTTATCGGTGATATACCTATAGAACAACTTCTTGTTCCCTTTTAAGTCCTTGGCTAGATAAATTCTACTTGGGTTTTAGTTTTCCTAACCTGATCCCTGGCTGCTTGGACAACTTCTTTGCAGTTCTCCTAGATATTTTGTTCCTGCTTATATAGGCTTTCTCTTTGCACCAAAGTCCAGGAACTACTTGTTTGTCCACAGAGACCTCCTGGCATTCTTGCCTGCTTTCCTCTTTCTTGGGATGCACTCCTTCTGGGCTTGGAGGAGAAGGTCCTTGAATACTGACCAGCTTTCTTGGGCCCTTCTTCCCTCCAGGACTTTACCCCATGTCACCCTGCCAAGCACTTCCCTGAAGAAGTCAAAGTCTGCTCTCCTGAAATCCAGAGCAGCAAGCTTGCTGTGCACCCTCTTTTACACTCTACGGATCTTTTGACTCCACTCATGGTCACTGCAGCCAAGACTGCTCTTGAGCTTCATGTCATCACCAGCCCCTCCTTGTTGGTGAGGACAAGAACCAGCATGGCATCTTTTCTTGTGGGTTCCTGTACCATTTGGAAGAGGTCATCATCATCAGCGCAGCTGGTGCTCTGCTGTGTCATCCTTACAACATACATTAGGGTGGGTAAAATCCCCCATGAGAATCCTGTTTTTTGAATGTGAAACTGCTCATATTTGTTTATAGAAGGCCTCCTCCACTCAGTCTTTCTGGTCAGTGGCCTATAGCAGATCCTCACTACAACATCTCCTTCCCCTGCCTTCCCTTTAACTCTAACCTGGGGATGATTTCTCAAAGCTTCCATGGCTTAAGTAGCTGAAGCCTTGTTCATGACACCTCTCCTTTAACCACATATTGTTTTTTTTTTTTTAATTCTATCAGTGCTTTCCCTCCCCATTCCTCTAACCAGGAGGACCGATGAGAAAACTACCTGTGCTCCTAAGTCCTTCACTGCTGCTCCAAGCTGCTTATAGTCCCTTTTGATATTCTTCATGCTGCACATAGCTGTATCATTTGTCCCTGTGTGAAACAGCAACAGCAGGTAGTAGTCAGTGGGATGTACAAGGTGTGGCAACCTCTCTTCCCCACCTCTTCTCCCAGCTCTCTTCTGGCAACTGCTCTTCCCACCTTGATGTGAGCCCTAAGCAGCAAACCTCTCTCAGTAATGGATTGGAATGATAAATGAGTGCTGCAGCAGAAAGCAGCTGCAGTTTGGTATATAAAGTCTGAACTAGACTGACTTCAAAACGAATTATCTAAGTTACACAGGAGAAGATCAAGTTAAACTGCTATGTTTGATACTTGAAAAAGTGCAGTGAGCTTAGTGAGTAACTTTCAGAATGCATTTCTGAACTACGGTTTTAAACTATGTGCTGTTCGTATTCATTTGTAACCTAATTGTAGGGCTGGAACTTCTGTAAAGACAGATTTCAGGGATTATTTGTGACTCTTCTGGGCAGCTTTTCTGCTAGGCAAGAAACTTTAGCTGTAAGGGAATCCCAAATGGGTCCCCATCTTTAGCCGTCTTTGCATCCCTCTCTACTAATGGGTGTATAGTATCTTCTTCTTTTGCAGCTACATTCTTTCAAATCAAAAGGAAAAAAAAACAACACAACATAGAAAACATATATAATATATGCATCAATTGGGACATGTGCCTTTCATTATATGTTAATCTCCTGAGCATTATTAGAAACCACTTTTATCTGGAAAATCAACTTCTAATTGTTCAGGGCTTGTTTCTGCAACTTATCCCTTGGGGGAGATCACTGCATCTTCGACAGAGCCCCATTCAATTCAGAATGATCATAAATATCTGAGACATTTTGCGGTATTTCAGCTTTTTTTCCTTCTAGTTGGACAATAACATTAAATGACGTTGGATGGCACAGGGAGTACTGAATTCACGGGCCACCATACATGCTAAAAATACTCATTCTACAGAAATAAAGATTTCCTTCCTTCTTTCCCTGCAGAAACAGCTTTGTTGAGGAATGCAATACAAACTGAGTCAGCAGCTGCTCATATTTCCAAGCCAGGGGAGAAAATTCTGTTAGATAAAGTTGAAGTTATAACTGGAGAAGAAGAAGAACACAATGTATTACAGGTATGTATTTCATAATGTCCTGATGGTCAGCAGTTTTGTTGGTGAAAAGAATGTCTAAATCTGAATTTACTAAATTTTACTACATTTACAGAATTTACTTCTGAAGCAATCAGAACATCACTATATGTTTTAAATTTTAAGTTTTTTTAAGATACACTTCTGCTTTTTTTTTTTTTTTAAGGCTTAAATTTTCTTTTTCATATTATATCTATATACTATTGTAACTGAAACATCAAAATTAGAAGTAATTTGAGTAAAGTTTTTTTTTAAGGACAAAACATTTTGGGGGAAAGAATGTGTTATTTAGTAATCACCTTTATAAACAACTACATAACTTTTTCAGTGAATGAGGTAATATGCTATTAGAGCACTTGCAGTGCATTAACCTGTCAGTCGATATCACAGATGAAGAATTAATGAAGATGAAATAATTGAAAAAGTAAACTAGAATTCATAGAATCATAGAATCACAAGGTTTTAAAGGACCTACAAGATCACCCAGTCCAACAGTCTTCTCATTGCCACTGCTACCACAAGCACTAAACCAGATCTCGCAGCTCCCCATCCAGACGCCTCTTGAACACTGCCAGGGATGGCAACTCCACCACCATCCTGGGCAGCCATTCCAGTGCCTGACCACTCTCTGAGAGAAAAAGTTCTTCCTTACGTCTAACCTAAACCTCCTCTGGTACAACTTGTGGCCATTTCCTCGGGTCCTGTTCGTTGCCTGGGAGAAGAGGCCAAACCCCTTTTCATCGCAGCCTCCCTTCAGGGAGTTGTAGAGTGCGATGAGGTCTCCCCTGAGCCTCCTCTTCTCCAGACTAAACAATCCCAGCTCCTCCCTTACAAGCTGCTCCTTGTAAGACTTGTGCTCCAGAACCCTCCCAGCTTTGCTGCCCTCCTCTGGACACGTTCCAGGGCCTCAATGTCTTTTTCTTTTTGTAGTGAAGGGCCCAAAACTGAACACAGCACTCGAGGTGTGGCCTCACCAGAGCTGAGTACAGAGGGATGATTACTGCCCTGCTCCTGCTGGCCGCACAATTCATGTTGATTGTTTTCAAAGAATAACTTAAAGTTCAGCACACATCAGGGAGTCCTTTGCCTTATGTAAAAATGTCAGTGTATCTATTTTTCTATCCTGAATCCATGCATACATATGTATTCAAAGCCACACCAGAAGATTTAAAAGCATAAAGTTTTAAAACCAATAAAGTTAACAGTGGATCACAATTTCCATTGTGTGTTTCTCTTTCAGATTAACTGCAAGCTCTTCCTATTTAATAAACTTTCTTTAACTTGGATTGAAAAAGGCAGAGGATCCCTGAGGCTTAATGACACTTCCAGCAATAAGTGTGGAACGTTGCAATCGAGGCTGAGTAAGAATTAAATAACAAAGTAACACATACACAAAACACTGATTAACTTGTACTGTTGCTGACTAGAATCAGTTTCTCTCAAATCATTTAAAACTGAATAGCTAATTTTATTTAAATCAAGCTGCTGAGAATATTTTTATCCTTACCTGATGGAGTTATCTTTGTTACAGACTGAGGCACTTCATTGCCTCTGGGTTTTTCAGTTGGCTTGTGTATGCCCACATATTCATGTTGTGAGGTTCTGTGTCTTTTTACTGGAAAGTAGCTTAGCCACCAGTCTGACAGTTTGCATCAGCACTGTTTCAAGACACTTCTGGAATGCTGCTTTTCCTGTGCTGTCATTTTTGTAATGCATTATAGTTTCAGTAGATTATTTTTTTTACGTGTCAGATTTATTAAAGAAATTAGCGTATTTTGAAAATATTAGTTGCATGGAAGTGCTGGGAGAAACTGCTAATAAAAAGGAAGACAGTTCCAATCACTTATGTATGAACCTTCTTATTTCAGTTATGCGAAATCAAGGCAGCTTGAGACTGATTCTCAACACCAGACTCTGGGGTCAAATGGTGTTAAAAAGAGCAAACAGTAAAAGCCTGTGTTTCACTGCAACAGATCAAGAGGACCACTCTGTTCAAGTATTTCTAATTCAGGTAATCAAGAGATAAAATCCCACCCAAATCCCCACCTCATCTAGGTTTCTGAAGACTTGCTGGGACTATGGTTTTAGCAAATAGCATTCTATGCCTTGTTAAGCTGTGATTAGCTTAGGCTTTATATGGCTTCTGTTATGAAATGAGTTAGCAGTGTTATCCCATCGTACTTCAAAAAAGGTGTGAATATGTGATATTGCCTTAGGAGAGACACTTCTTGATTCTGGTTCACATACCACTGAATCAGTATTGCTCCACGGTACAGCATGCATCACTTACTGTTTCTTAGAGAGGCAACACAGTAAGAATTTCTACACACAGGTAGTCACGCATTTGTAAGTCACCTAGGAACAAGGCAGCAGCTTTCTGCTGTGATTCTGGACACAGTGCTTGCAACACTTCTCATGCTTGACGAACAGACTTCTCTAATTATATGACCAGCCTGATGGATGAAGGGAGAGCAGTCGATATTGTGTTCCTGCACTTCAGTAAGGCCTTTGCCTTTGATAATGTCCCTTGTAAGATCCTCACAGGTAAGCTACTTAAGCATGGGCTGGAGGAGCGGACAGTGAGGACAGCTGAAAACTGACTGAGTGGTTGGACCTGTAGAGTAGTTGTTTAGTGGTGGAGGCCAGTAACCCCAGGATTCAGTACTGGGTCCAGCTCTGTGTAACATCTTCATTAACGATCTGGACAATGGGATAGAGTGCACTCTTTGTAAATTCATAAATATCACAAAACTAGGAAAGTGGCTAACTCACCAGAGGGCCATACAGCCATCCAGAAGGATCTGAACAGGCTGGAGAGCTCAGCTGAGTCCTAATGAAGTACAGAGTCCTGCAATTGAGGAGGAACAATCTAACATATCAGTACGTGCTGGGGGCTCCTCATCTGGAAAGCAGCTTTGCAGAAAAAGACCTAAGTGTTCCAGTGGACAGCAAACTGAACAAGAGTCAGCAATATGTCCTTTCTTATCAGAAGGCTAAATGTATGCTTGGCTGGTATTATGCAAAGTATCAGCAGGTTAATAGAGGTGATCCTTCGTCTCTGTCCTTCTCGTGTAATCAATGCTGATGAGGCTGTACCTGGAGTCCTATGTTCAGTTCAGCGCCCCAGTACACAGAGACATGGAACTATAAAGTCAAGAGTAGTCCCACTAATATGACACGAGGACTGCAGCACCTCTCCTGTGAGGAGAGGCTGAGAGAGCTGGGACTTCTCAGCTGATGAAGAGATTTAGGGGTATCACATCAACGTCTATAATAACTGTAGGAGGAATACAAAGAAGATGGTATTTGTCTTTTTTGAGTATCCTCCAGTTCCAGAGCAAGAGGCAATTGGCACAAACTATAACAAAAGAGGCTCCCTCTGAACATCCGCAAGCACTTCTGTACTGTGTAGGCAATGGAGCATTGGCACAGGTTTCCCAGAGACAGTGGATTCTTATTTTTGGAGATGTTCAAAAGCCATGTAGACATAGTCCTGGGCTACCTGCTGCGTGTCCCTGCTTGAGTTGGGTGTTGGACCATATGGCTTCCAGACATCCCTTTCAACCTCAGCCATTCTGTGATTCTGTGATGATCCATCTGGTCTATTTCAGAGTTGAGAGAGAACACAGATTTTGTAATGTGACTTTATGTAAGACAATAGTCTTGGGAATACTAGTTTTCTCTGGCTGGGGCTGATAAGTGGAGCATGGAAATGTGGTGGACTTATTTGCAAGTAATTGCAACATAGGGGTATGATGTTCCCTACTAGATCCTTTCAGGGGCAAGAAAACTGCTGCTTACAGGAAGTGTCACATTTAGCACACAAGCAAGATACCATGCATGCAGTGTTTATGAAAGCACTGTAAGCCTGTCACTTCCTAACAGTGATTGACTAACTCTGACTGTGCCATGCAGCCAATCTGCACGTGCACATTAGAAATGTCTTAGATTTCCAGATGTGATACAGTTTTCTAGTGTATAGAGATGTAAGCATTAATAAGATTCTGTCCTGACAGTTCTAAACAGTAAAAAAGGACATGTATTAAGAAACCAAGGTACAGTTGTATGTGTGGCAAAACCTGCAAGAAGCTGCTTGTACAGTTATCAACAAAGCAGCTAGTGTCCTAGTTGGTATCTCATCAAACTAAACCATGTCCCTCAGTGTCACATCTATAATCTAACCCCTCCAGGACTGGTTATTCCACCACGTCCCTGGCTGGCTAGTTCCAATGCCTTTATCTTTCTGAGTGTCCTTCTCTGTACCATCTTTAATTCTGTCCTTGAGATATGATAACCAGAGTAGAACACAGTAGTCAGGACATGGCTGCTCTAAAGTTTTGTGTACTGGCAAAATGGTGCCCTGTCTGGTTTTCAGTACCCTTTTTGATTTAAAAATCGCAGCATGGTTCATTATATTTTTAAGGTTAATAAATACAATTTATAATTTTTTGAGGTTAGTTTTAAAAGTTTTATTTATTCTGTAAATCAAAATACAAACACATGTATTACTATTTCAGTGCTTTATTTGTTCTAGAATTATATTTAGGAATTGTCTGGAGTATGAAATATTCAGTACAACCATTCTTCAGGGCAGATAATTTTTAAAGGTGTTTTTTTTTTTTTTTTTCATGTGATTATAGATAAAATAATCAACATATTTTAAAGTTTCAACCACTGAAGAGAATCTAACATCCTTTGTGTTTAAATCTATTTTCAGAAATGAATTACTGTGAATCTTATATACAATATATTGATTAAAAAAAAACACAACCAAAATAAAGTTATTTTATTACTTTTGAAAACTTCTCAGCCTCTCTGTGAAAATAAGGTTTCTTCTGGGTTAATGTTGACTCTAAATCTTATTTTCTGCAGGCAAGATCAAAAGATGCTGGATATTTGTATGCAGCAATACATCACCGACTTGTGGCACTGCGAAGCTGTGCTGAGCAAGAATCAGATGCTAATCAAATAGATACAGAGTCAGAGACAGCTTTTCAGCTATTAAACTGTGACAGTGATGATGATGATGAAAAAATAACTCAAGTGAGCAGCAGTGGATCTGGTAAGCAAAACTTTTCCCAGAAATGCTGTAATTCTTTCAAGGTTTTTTCCTTTTAATAATAAAAATGTACTTTTTTTTTTTTTTTTCATGTTGACTATAACTTTAATCAAAATTTATGTTATAGATACTCTTTGCTGAGTAGATGAGAGTAACTCCTTGCAGCTTACTGCTATTACAATGCTAGATTTTACTGGATAAATGGTAGATAGAATAGTTTGGTTAGAATGGATCTACAAAGATCACCAAGTCCAGTTGCGTGACCTCTTCAGTGCTAATCAGAAGTTAAAGCACATTACTGAGGGAATTATCTAAATAATTCTTAGACACAGGAGTGGGGATTGCTAGGAAGTCTGCTCTTCAAGAAGCCATTTTTCTTCATATCCAATGCAACCCTTCCGTGGTGCAGCTTTGTGCCATTCCCATCCTGTCATCAGTTTCCAGGAGCAGAGCCCAGCATCTCTCTCTGCTTCCCCTCCTCAGGGAGCTACAGAGAGCAGTGAGGTTGCCTCACGACCTCCTCTTCTCCAGACAGGACAACCTAAATGTCCTTAACCACTCCTCGTGGGATTTGTTCTCTGCCCTTGTTAACAGCTTTATTGACCTCCTCTGGACTCTTTCAAGGACCTTAACATTCATTTTATATTGTGGTGACCAGAACATCACACAGTATTCAAGGTGAGGCTACTCCAACAAAAGAACAGTTGAAAAATGACTGCTTTTTATTGGCTAGCTGTGCTGTGTTCAGAGCACCCCACAGGGCAGTTTCCTCTCTTGGCTGCCCAGGCACACTGCTGGCTCATGCTGAGCTGCTGTCCCCAGCACCTCTGAGTTCCTTGCTGCTGAGCTGCTCTCCAGCCATTTGTCTCCCATCCCTCAAGCCCGTGTCTTGCACTGCTTGTTCCCAAGTGCAGTACCCAGAATTTTCCTTTGTTAAACTCCATGCTGTCACTGACTGCCCTGTGCTATCTAGATCCCTCCACAAGGCCTCTCATCCCTTCAGGCCAGCAGCACCTCTCAGTTTTTGTGTCATTGGCAAATGTGCTGGGGATGCATTCCAGTCCTGCATCATCAGTGTTGAACACGAGTGGCTCTGGAAGTGAGCCCTAGAGAACATCACTAGTGATCAGCTGCTAATACCTATTTGCTTTATAGCAGTGGAATATTTTTTTGAAAAAAAAAAAGCTGAGAGTTAAGGAATTTTAATATTGTCAACCTTTATCTGAAATCTTCTTTAGTACATTTCAGTAGATATGACAGGAGGCACTGAGATACTTCTTACATGAATGAGTAGAAGTTGAGTCCACATGCATCATCAACTAGGTAGTTACTAATGCCTTCAAGCACTGTGTTTATTGAGACAGTATTTACTTTGCTCTGGTTAACTTTGTTTAAAGCACTGGTTTTTGAGTCGTTCTAATAACTACTTCTCTAAGAGACTCCTGGTTCAAGATTTACATGCCAGCCATGCCAGCTGTTTTGGCAGGTTTTTTTTTTAACATAATAGGAATGTAGGCTCTTCAAAGTAAGGAATGTAGCTAAAACAGGATGTAAGGGACAAACTGACTTAATGCTGCTCTAGAAAATGAAAGACGTACAAGCTCTTTTGTCTTGGCAGAACACAAGACACATTTCTTGAGGAAATTTACTCGCTTGTGCCAAATTGCCACTATGGATACAAAAGCTAGCAATTGAATTCTCTTTCTCGTAGAACTAAAGCAGGAAGGTCTGAGTTGTTGCTCCTAGAACTTGCTTCCCTCTTTAACTAAGCAACATACAGCCCTGATATTATACACACTTCTTTTTAACAAGTATTCAACAGAAATAAGTCACAGACAACTAACAGCTATGAGTAACTGCTTAAGGATAATATGCAAGCCTTTTTTCCCCATTTACAGATTGTATCTTATAGTCTTGTTCCCATTATCAGCTGTTATTTAAATACACTTCAGTATCATTCAGTGCTCTAAACAAAGTATGATGCTCTCACACAAAATTTTCTCACAAATACCTTCATTCTGTTTAGGAAATGGAAAATTTTTGGCTTTGAAAACTGCCTCTACTGCTTCTAGCTAATCAAACATTCCCTCACTAATTCCTAAATAATCTCTATTGACTTTACAAAGATTCAGGTAACTTGAAAACTGTGGATGGAACTTGATTACTTTCCAGGATTACTTGATAAGAACTCTTTGTTGTTTTAGAAAAAAAAAAAAAGAAGAAGAAGAAAGAAAAGAAAGAGGTGAAAGGGAATATAAAAGCAGTTTGAGAGCACAGATTTACTAGTTAAATATTTACTTTGATTTGCAGAGATTTGTGATACAAATATTCGAATGGCATCCAGCAAATAGATTCTGAAATACGACTGTCAGGTGTTCATGAGTGTCAAGCCCTTTAGTTTCTGTCTTTTATTTGTGTTCAAACAATTCCTGTCAGCAGTTTTAGCAATCCCTTTCAAATGCTTTTTGGATGACTTCTATCATTCCCTGCTTATCTCTTCTATTATTCTCAGAGCCACAAGGTTTCAATTTTGCATAAATTTCAGTCAGTGGTATCCAAGCCCCACTTTCTGTGCAGACATTCACATCTTACATGTCTCTGCCCCTGGAACTTCCATTTCCAAAACAGGATATTGTAGTCATAGCTTTTTAAATAAGGTGAGGTCAGTTTTAAATACTAATATAGAAATGTGTATTTGGATGCAAGAAATCAGATCCTGCATATTTAACAACATTTGATAAGGAGCCTACATTTTCATTTTCATTTAAATATGTATGTTGTTTCATTCATTTCCAGGTTTGTCTCTCCTTTAAAACTGTAGAATTGCTAAGGTTGGAAAGAATCTCTAAGATCATCCAGTCCAACCATCCACGTACTTCCAATATTGCCCACTACATCATGTTCCTAGGTATCAGATCTGCCCTTTCCTTAAGTGCCTCCAGGGACAGTAACCCCACCACTTCTCTGGGCAGGTTGTTCCAATGCCTGACCAATTCTTCTGAGAAGAAATTATTTTTAATAACCAATCCTTAGTTTAGATTACTATGAGAAGGATAACTTCTCAGTGACTGCTTCATTACCAGAAATAAGATTAAAAAATATGCCTAGATTTTATTTAATTATGTTCTACCTGTTTTGTCTCAAAAAAAGCAATGACAATTCTGTCTTTTCTTAATACAGGCAATTTTCACTGGGTTAAACTGAAGTTACATAGTTCCCTAGATTATAATATATATTTCATGACACTGTAGAAGACATGGAAAAAATTAATCAATTCATTACATCAAATTATTTTTGATGTAAAAGATTGAATAAAAGCAAGTAGAATTTACATTAGTGAAGTGTTTGTGAACAGGAAGGTGATGCTATATGCTTGCAATAAATTTTCTTACATGCAGTTCTTCACTATACTGTCACAGAACATTAACCCTATATAAGGACACTGTAAAAGACAGGAGAGGTATTTCTACTATTCTACTACTATTCAGTATAGACGATTGTATTGAATTGTGTCACTTTCAAGTAAAAATGTTGTTTTCGTAAGATCTGTAAATAATAAGCTGATTTTTCTGATGTTTTTATTACCTTGTATTTCACTAATTACAACTCAGATACTTTCAGCAACAAAATTATGTTTAAATCTGAATGGAGAGAAACAGAACAATTCATCCAACTTCAATCAATTTTTAAAAGTGGTTGGTATCAATCATTCTCTTTGAAGTGTTTATTTTTCCCACTAACTACAAAGTGAGCTGAGGAGATGAATTTAGAATAGATGGCAAACTTCTAGACTGACAGAAGTTAGGCAAATTTCTCCTTCCCGTTATATAACTTGCCTGCTCAATATTTCACTACATTTGCCTCAAATTGTCTTTGTACTATCTAGCTGAGAAGAGATCAGCAGAATTCTTTATTGTACATTGGAAAAATGTTCTCACTAAATGATTTAACAAATAAAACAATGAAAAAAGCTGGTAGGATAATATGCAAATAATTAGAATTAGAGTGTTCCTTTCTGAGGGGAATACCACTGCTGTCAATTGCATGACTCTCCTTTCTTGTTTTTCTTCTCTTGGCATTTGTAAACTTCCTATTCTTTGCTGTATCATGGATCTGCTTCTATAGACAGAATGGAGAATTTTCCTTAGCCAACTGTACAGAATAGCTTGGTAAGGGAGATTGGTCATTGTAGGCAGGAAGATGGACCCAAACCCTATGGATGAGGAGGAACTAGAACCCAATATGTGTGCTGCAGTGAGTAAAATAATGTGCATACCACTGCCATTTCCTCCTCTACCTTGGTTTATAGATCTCAAACATCTGCTTGGGATTTTCTTACATGCTGGCAGGCCTGTGTCAAGTATCTGTGCAGATTCAGTCTGTGCAGATTGTGAACAGCTGTTTTTTAAGTTCTTTGACTACAAGTTGTCACAATTTCAGCACCTGGGAGTAATGAATTCCTCTACTAATGCATGTAAGTTCCACACAAAGTTTTTGGATAGATGGTTCTGTAATTTAGGCTCTGAGTCTTTTGCAAGATGCCTTCACATCTTTCCACTGGTCACAAACAAAAGAGGTATCTATGTCAGACTCACAAAGTCAACCAGCAAGAACATGGATCTGTTATGTAGAACCACTATACCTAAGCTTACCATTGGCAAAAGGTGATCAGAAGTCATTACTTCTACTCCTAAATAAGATGTCTCTGAGAATATTTTTGCCTCTGATCATTTTAAGAGGTTTTACTGTGTTGTTTTATGGCCTTTAAGAAGATTTCTGTCCTTTCTTCAAAGATATAATGTTTTGTTTACATCTGTAAATATCAGAAATACTAGAAGGTCCTTGAAGTGAGAAACTTCCATATTTCCTTGTGGAAAAAAAAAAAAAAATGTTTTATACCTCTCAAATAATAGCAGTTTTTTCTAAATCCAAAATGCTATTATAACACTTCAGGATTGTGAGGGACAAAGGTGACAGTTATCGGTAGGCAAAGAAATGCTTTATGAGTTATGTCTTATAGTATACTCACCATTAACTGCTTTACATTTGCTCCTAAGTTCATTTTGATTGAATGATCCTCCTGTTTTATTGAAGTGCATTCTCTTATCTGGTATGGAATTTTCTTTTAGAAGTTATTAGAGTGAATTCAAAGTTGCCAATGTCCAAGATTAGGTAGGTCCCAAGAAGTCTATCCATACATATCCATAAACCTTAAGAGAAAACTAAATTGGAGACATACTGTGTCCAATTTATGCGTCCACCAAGAGTCCACCATGGATTTTGGAGACTAGTGATGCTGAGAGCAGAACAATATCATGTTATGGAAATGCTTTAGGTTTTGTTTTATCACAAATTTTCTAGTCCACTGTGCACATATCTCCTATATTGGCCTCATTAAGACTCTGTCATCTCCTGTTGTTTATCAAGACATAAGATCTCTGTTATGAGAGAGTTGTTGCTGTTGCAGTTGCTTTTTAAAGTAAAATTCTTATAAAAGCTTTTTAAAGAAACTAATGTTGAGCAATGCTGTAGGAACTCCTGCTATCTTTGTTTGACATTTCTTGTCAATTCAAGATCTTATCTAGTGTTAAAGATTCTAAATCATAAATTGAGCGCAAGCACACACACACATTTGTTAGTCATTTCAAAAACTAAAGAGATTAAATCTGATTTTTTTTGGGGGGGAGGGGTTGGAAGCTCAAGTTTCTTTATTCTTTGCAGTAAAAATCAGTAATGCCTCAAAAAAAAAAAAAAAAAAAAAGAGAGAGAGAAAGAGAGACATCTGTATGATGGGCTTTAAAAGCCAACATGTCAGGAAAAGTTTTGGGGGGATGAGAGGGGACAGAAGAGGAAGATTCAGATTTCATATTCTGACAAATACAAGGCTTTTTCAGTTCACCTGTAAAAGGTTTAAAAATTTTAGTAACTGTTTAGAAGTGGCCAGGTGATAGAAATTTTTCAGCAGATACTGAGGGAATGATGTTACCTGTCAGCTATATACACTTTTGCAGGTTTTGCATTCTAGATTACTCACCAGAACCACCCTTGGATATTTTATCATGACCATAGAGTTACCTGAAGACATGTTGTATTTCTCGCAGTTTACTGACATCTATTGTTAAGTATTAACATCAAATTACTTAAGTCAGCGTTCCCCATAGAGGACAAGTTGTTTTGCATCCCAAAAACAGTGTCCCGTCTGGACACCTTATATCCTTAAGTGCTCATGTGCTCATCTTTATTGACATGGGGAGTCACAGGCTTCATTCACTATTCACATGCTCAAATATTTGTGAATAATCCTGTGTTATCTGGTTAGATATTTATCTAAACCAGGAACTGATTGTATCCAAACTTTAACCTACTGCTTTGGTATTATGAAATGCCAGTTTGCTTCAAAATGTGAATAACTCAAATTTAAAGAAATGTTTTTTAAAATTCTGTTTCAGATCATTCTAGATGGAACCGCAGGCAGCCTGTAGTCTGCTCATGAAATTTACCACAGTTTACAACTGACTACTGAGGACTCATCTTCTCAAAATGCTGAAGATGCATCAGGACCTGGAAGAAGGAAATCAGAAGAATTTTGTTTTATGAGTTCTAAGCAAAGATTAATTTTATAAATGGTTTATGTTCAGTACATTGGGAAGGAACTTGAGACACAAGTTGAAGGTTCCAGACAGCTTGCTTTGCACTGAGATGAGAATAATATGATGGCTTCCAGTGTTCAAGAACTGTTAAAATAGATTCAGATTTTAAAATTAAATATACTTAAATGCATTATTAAAGTAAGGACTTTTATAGGGAATCTATGTTCATTCATCATCTTGATGGAAAAAAAAAAAAAACAACAACAAAGACAACACACATAACCATTAATTAATAATACACCTGATATTTGATATTTTTTGTCTGTTATTTAAAAGATGCATTTTGAAGACTTAAAATTGGGCTTCACTGAAAGCATTTATTTAAATTGCCTGGTAGTACTCAGCATCTTGTTTGTAAGTACATGCAAGCAGAATGGTCAGTGGCAGTTCAACATGACAAAGGCCTACAGAAATCAATTTTTTTTGGTGTTTTTTGTTTCTAATATGTGGAGTAGTCACTGGAAAGTTTTGTTAAAGGGCAAAGAACTAGGTTCTGCTCTTACATCCATACGACTACAACATGAAGAACTGTAAGCAGAAATTCTAGGGGACATCTGAGCATTACAATCTAAAAGTGAATCTGTTTGCACTTACGAACATCTTTTTGCTTGCACAGAACAAGCACTCTTAACTGTCCGTTAGATACATAAAAATAAATGCATAGACATTATAAGTAGAGATCTGCATACAATTTATCTTATATTTTTGAGATTGTCTAAGATTATTTCTGCTTTCTTATTAGCCACAGTTATCCCTAAACAGCATGAGATTAATACATTAGTCAAATATGTGCAATAATCCAAACAGTGCCAATGACTCAAACACTCTGTAAAAGTGATTCCATCAACTAGCCCACTACCTAGCCATTTTCATGGTAAATTGGAAGGGCAGTTCTCCAAATGCCACCTGTGAATTAAGACTTTCCAGACCCCTCACAAGCCTGTGCACTGTACAGGCACCATTTAATACTCTGTGCTTTCTATTCTTTCTGTTAACAGGTACAGAAAGTGTATGTCTGTGGTCATTCTGCTGCAGACTTCTCTTGCCTTGTATATTGTTGGCTACAAAATTAATTCCTGATCATTCTCAGAGCTGGGGAAAAAAAAAAAAAAAAAAAAAAAGGTCTGAAGTATCTTAAGTCCTTTTAATTGAGAAAGTTGTAGATGTTTATCAGCCTTAAAAGCTGCATCACACCTGAAGAGTCAAGTTACAATTTAGTCTCCCATCTGAACATATGTATGAAGTTGGAAGAATTCCAGCTTCTTCCTAAACTCTCAAGATTAGAGTCCAGGTGAAGCTGAACTACCATCTGGATTACTCTGAATCTTACACAGCCTGCCAAAATTAGCACTTCTCTGATTTCTGGATGAGAGCAACTTTAAGTGGGACTGGATTTTTGCCTTTGCAATGGAGCACTTGTCTCTAGAAGTACTGGAATGTTTTTTCACTCTTCAGTTTGCTGATAATGAAAATTTCTTTCTAGAGCAGCTGTACACTGTGTTCTTCTGTGATAGCCTCGCTCCTGAGCACTTTTATTTCCATTACTGACCTTCATATTCCATTGCTGTAACTCATACTCAGGAACAAAGCTCCATGTTACAAAAACTTCGGCAGTTGTTAAAAAACAGCAGTCTTATGTATTTAGCAACAGGTCATGGGGAGAACTTTGCCCTGAAGCTCAACTGGTTATGCACTGAATGTAGAGTTTGATTTCAAAGTCTGCCCTGGTAATCAAAGCCATCCATGTAACTGATTTTAAGCACCAGAGTGTCATCATGAAGTCACACATACAACTTCTAAATTCTACCACAGCGTATGCAACAGAATTTTTGCAAAGGACTTCAAAACTTTGTAATATACTTCCATAGTGAAAGTAGCAAAGCTTACGATCATTCACAAATTAAAAAAAAACACCTCTTTTCTGAGCTGCCTTTTCCCAAGACTGTATTATACATTCACACACCAGTATACACACATTTGCTCAAACATACACACACTTAAAAATGAAGCTACACTTCTACAAGCTGTGGACATAAAGAGATGTTTGAATACTCTGAGGAGTGTGGAGAGTGTGGTAACAGAAGACATATAAATACATATATCTGCAGACATACTTGAGGTATGAAGTTTTACTCTTGATATCCTAATCCATTATTTATTTTATTTAGTCTCATTGCACTAAATTTTTGTGTTTCTCAAGACTGAAGGTATGCTGGTATGTAATGTATTAACTTGGTTTTGAAAATGTAACATTTTATGACAGCGGGAGCAATCATTTCTATGTCCAAACAATAAACAGTTTTCTTACAGCTTTTATTTCCATCTGTTTGTCTTACTGTGTGTGAAAGTTAGTGCTTCCTACAAACTGTTCCTTCCACAGTACTTCTAGCTTGTTTTCCTAAGGAAAAAAAGATTCAAATAATCATGTACCTCATCCATCTATCTGTCAGAACCACTTTGAGTCAAACGTCGAATTTGGAAGAGTTTGCTGAGAGGTACGATGTCTGTTTTTCATGAAAATTGGCATCTGTTGGGTGACATAAATCAGATACAGGTATGCTTTGAAGAAACAGCTTCTCAGTAAGCTTGGTATCTTCTGTGGTCCTGGGTATTGCATTCCTGGCTCTGAAGAGGGAGGGAAAAGAGTAAAACCATGGAAGGGTGGAACCACAGCTTGAAAAGTGGCATAGGGACATTTCATGCAGCACAAATCTATATGAAGTTACAGATCACTAATTTTGCTGTTCATGGAGCAACTTGTTCTGTGCTTTTTCAGATGAAAAGTATTCTAAATTTATTTATTTAAAGAACATATATTCTAGATAGAAAATTTCTGACAAATCTCAGTGATTAATTAGTATATTTACAGGATGCAGAGCTTGAAATTCTTAGGAATTAGTAGAGGAATAATTATCACAAGGAGGGAAAATTAAAAATCCCTAATAAAAGGATATGGATGCAGATACCTGCCACAAGATCATGACTTTCTGGAAAAATTTACTTGGACAGAATAGCCTTAATGATTTATTCCACACTCTTCGTGGAAAAAAACCAAAAAAATAAAAAATCCATAATGTCAAATCTTGCATTTTATCTTTTCCTTAATTTTAGCACTCTTTTTTTTTTTAATGTCATCATTTTTAGTGACCTCTTAATTACTGCTGACAAACTGAGTCTAGTAATGTTTCTACTGAATGAATAAATGTATGAATGATTTAATGAATAAATGAATACAGGGAAAACCCTTAGCACATCTGATATTGTTTTTAATGTTACCGAGTCTGCACAAAAGAGACGAGGAGGAAGGAGCATCCTCTTTTTTTCTCTACATGGATCTTGTAAGACTTAATACTAGAGACTGCTTCCATGGGCTGATTGCTCCCCATCAGCTCAGGCTGCCCAGGGCCCATCTGGCTTTGAACACCTCCTGAGATGGAGCACCCATAGCATTTTGGGCTGCAGTGCCGGTGCCTCGCTACCCTCCGAATGAAGAATTTCCTTCTAACATCTAACCTAGACTTTCCCCTTGTCCTGTCTCTAGCTATCCATGTAGAAGGTCAGTTTCTCCTTTTTAAAAACAGTATTTATTCAATGTTTTGCAAGTAGGCCTGTTTACAAGGTAATGTTGCACAAAGCGGTTTATGTGCTGTGGAAAGTTTAAACCTTTTTTCTGTGATTCTGCCTGAGACTTCCTCTTGGAAGTCATGGATGAATCACTTCGTTTTCTGTGCCTCAGCTCTTCTTCCAGGAAGTTCAGATCTTAAGCCATCTTGAATTTACATTTTAAAACACGTGTTCTGATAACGTATGCACCTATATTTGCTGTAGGCCTTAATCCAAAAGACTGTATCATGGTAATGGTACGGCCTCAGAGTGAAGTAGTGCTCTGCTTCAAGCCTGACATAGTGACTGAAGCTGATTTGTACACAATGATCAAAGCAGTTCAATATCAGTAGGTACCGTGAGAAGCACAGAATCCTGTCAGAGTAGTTAAAAGAGCTATAAAATAGGTATCTCGCCGGACAGAGCCACAACATTTCAAAATCCCGTATTTCCACTTGTTCTACTGCTTTGTACGATCTAAAAATTAATGGTTATACAGAACGAGGCATTTTCTGGGGATTAGTTATGTTTAATTACTCTCCTGATAAGCTGGTTTGCAGTAGTGTCCTTCAAGGCTAAGCTAATCAGTAGACAGAAAATCCTTCTGCCTGTCAGTACAGGCCAGATTTCGTACTGCTGCAGGATAGCGGGCAGCAGCCGAATGCCTTGTCTGATTTCCTAAGGCTCCCAGTTAAAAGCCCCGCAGAAGAGCGCTGCATTCACGGGAAAACAGCCGCTGGCTCTTCCCCAGGGCAAGAGCAGGCACGGGACGAGAAGCTGGGTAAATGCTTTTGGTGTAGACGTACTGCGAGTGCGAAACAGAACTCTTGACAAGACAGATATTCATAATGGTAGGGGAAAAAAGAAAAAAAAAAACTGTGAGAAAGCAGCTCCGGATCGACGACGTTTGTGCCGGGCTCGCTTTATGCACTGCCACCCGCGTCACGAACAGAAGGCGCGGCTTCTCAAACAACTCGCTTCTCACCAGATCCTCACAGGACGCCGTGCGTAGCGCTCCTCAACAAAGGGCCTACAAAAAGTGGTTTTTCCAACTTTCCGAGTCCTCCCCTCCTGACACTCAGCGTTAGCCACGAAGTCAGCCTCACTCGCCAAGGTCCGCCCCGGGACGCCCAAATCCTAAAGACCGAGCGCGCCTGACCTAAAAGAGGACGCTACCAGCTTTATTTTACCTTATTCTACTTCATTTTGCTCTGTGAGCACAAACAAAGGGTCTGCGCGGAAGACCGCGCGGTGCGCAGCAGGGGCAGCCACACGGGCCAGCTCACACCGCGCTCCCGCGCAGCCCCCGGGGCCGCCAGGTGCCCGCAGCCCTCACGGCAGCCTACGTGCCCGGAGCTGCGCCCCGCCCACCAAACACAGGGAGGCGGGAGACGCAGCGGCCAGCCCAGCGCACGCGCAGCCCGCGCCCCGGGGCTCGGACGGGGAACCGTCCGCCCCACGCTCGCCCCCGCCCCTCCGTTGATCAGCAAGAGCGCACGCGCGCTGTGCGCGGGCCCGGCCCGGGGGCAGCGCCCCGCCCCGCCCCGCGTGTCCTGATTGGCGGAGGTTGTGGCTGCGCGCGCGCGGCGGAGGGGGGGCGTGGCGGGGCGGACGCGCCATGTGTGCCGCTCTCCGCACGGGCGCGGAGGCCGGCTTGGAGCGGGGGCGGGCGGCACCGGGCAGCGCTGCGCCCTCGCAACTCCGGTGTTGAGGAGAAGCGGGGCGAGGTCGGACCATGTCCGTCCCGCGGCGCTACCTCTGCGTCGCCGGCCGGGCGGCGGGAGTCACCTCCGTCCCGATGGGACTGCCGCTGCTCGGCGGAGCCCGCCGGCGTCTCCTCGCCTCCCGCGGGCTGAGCGCGGCCGGGAGCGGGCCGTGGTGGCCGCGGCGGCGGAGCTGCGGGGGTCCGGGGGCGGCGGGCGGCGGATTCCGGCCGGCGCGGGTGGCGGTGGTGGTGAAGACGACGCGCTACGAGTTCGAGCAGCAGCGGTACCGCTACGCGGGGCTGTGCGAGGAGGACCTGAAGCAGCTGGTGAGCGGGGCCGGGGGCCGCCGGCGGGCCGGGAGAGCGGCGCGGCCTCGGGCCGGGGCTGTTATCGGGGGCCGGGGTGCCCGGGTTTGTGCCGGGCTGTTCGAGATCAGAGAACCCCGCTCTTGTTTTCCCTTGCAGCGCGCGGCGAGAAGGCTGTATGTGCGGAGGTGCGGGCGGAGGGAAGCGCTGCGTTGCGAAAATCCCCTCCGACACCCGGAGAGGACTTGGTCGCGTTCCCTCCCGCCCCTTTAGCTCTGCTTCACTTCCTCGTTTCATCTTTCGTTGCCTAACAACTCCAGCCAAACAGTCGGATCTCCCGTGCGCACCTGTCTGTCCTGCTGCTGCTTTCGGAGATGCCTTTTTCTTTGTTCTTTACGGCGATCGGTGCAAAGGCAGGTGGTTGCTGGGGAAGGCACGCCAAGGGCAGCACCTCCCCGCCGTGCTCATCGTCCCTCCGAACCGTTACTTTGGATTTGCAGCCTTGGCTGGGCTGAAACTTGCAGAGGGCTTTCCTTTCTGTAGGAGGGGCAGGTGATGTGTTTGTGTTGCCTTCAGAAGGGCAGTATCTGTAAAAAGAGAGCTCTTGGCGTTTTGCAACATTGTCCTTTTTAACCATTTTCCTGGGTGCTTCAGGCAGCTGCCCATCTCCCGTGGAATTCCTGTCTGTGCATACTGCATGTTGCGTAAATCTCTTTATGTGGTCGAACTTCTTGTGGTGCCACATGGAACCACCTGCCTGCATTCATACTGTCACTGTGTGCAGGTTAGTGCTGCTGAGTGTCTCCCTGTCCCACCAGAGCTGCAGAGAAGCAGCATCTCACCCAGCTCACATCAAGACTGCTCCTCTGTTTGTGTGCAGTTAACCATCTCTCGAGGGAACTTTTATTGCTGTGAAGTATAGAGAGTCAGCTTAGTTGCTCAGCGTGCAGCTGAACCCAGGAGGAACAAAACTGCTTGTTTCACCTTTCCCTAACTGCTTTTGTGCAGGCTAGACCAGGACAGGGGATCAATAGCCTGCATCAGCTGAAGATCCCTTAAAGAAAAGAAACCCTGGATGCACAGTGCTTTATTGCAGTAGTTGCAGAAAAATCTGAAGCGTATTTTTGAGAAAATCTCAGGAATACTAGTTCTCCAGACTATGAGTAGTGCCCTTTTTTAAGTCTGCCTTCCCTCTCAGAATACCTCCACGTGAGGAATTGCAGCAATAGAACTCATTATCTCTGTAGCCAAAGTCTAACTTGCCTAAATATGTGTCCATCAGTATTTATTTAGGCTTTCTGCAAAAATGCCTCTATTTACTGTCTGCTGGGAGTCAGGTCTCGTATTCTTTTCCTTGATTTCTGGGCTAGCAGCAGTCTTAGCAAGTGCATTAGATGAAGATTCAGGAGATTCTTACCAGCTTTCCTGTGTATCTGCAAAATATTTTTCCTGCTATGGATAGCCTTGGAACTCAATGCTTTTTGTTCTGAATTAGTCACGCTGCTTCCTGCATCTGCTTCTGGTGTAGGCTGCAGGAGCTGGTCCCCGGGCTGCTGGTCTCTGAGAAGCTGAAGCCAGACGCATGGACAGGGTGTCCCACTGGGGGTATGCAGGGTTGGAGTTTTGTTCATCCTGGAGGCCATGCCCTAATGCAGATGTGAGTGGTGCAGAAGCTCAATTGCATGGAGAGGTGAGACAGGGAGTGAAGTAGGCATCTGGGCTGGGCAGAAAGCCTGTGGGCAATGAGATGATGGCAAAAAGCATGAATGTGTGTAGGAAACACTTGTTACAGGCCTAAGCAGTTGTGCCTGATTGCTGCAGCAAGAAACCAGGCCTAAATTTAGGTGTTGCACTTGGTGTGTTTTTGCATGAAGACAGAAAAAAAACAGTAAATCACCTAATGCAGAAGAGACACTTATACATGCCTTTGAGCTTCAAATTAAATAGAATACACAAACAATTAAATTGTTCTGTATTCATGGAGACTCTAAATCATGGATGTATTTTAATATATATGAAAAAATGTAAATCAGTGTGCATCATATACATGATCATATATGCATCATATAACATACACCAAATAGCACGCTACCTTGGTATAGAAGCTGGCTTGCCATCACTTCTAATAGGAAATGCAGCCACCTGAGAGCTGTG